AAAAAAGGGTTTGAAGAATGAGACATTTAGACTTCGGCTAGAAATGGATAGAAACTAGATTTGTTAGCAAAGAGAGGGGTGTCGTGAGTTGCATTGATCGGTGCATTCGTTATAAAGATTGATGAACTATGGTGGTCACTTGGATTGATACTTGATTGTTTAAGTTCTTAAAATGGATTCGTCTTGAGTCCGAATAAATTAATTTGAGTTGTTTGAACTATGCACTTATGTGAGAATTGTGAGGCTTTGAGTAAAGTTCCACGTACTTGTTTTCTTGTCCATCTATGTGCATTTAGTTCTAAGTTGCTTGGGGACAGACAACGGTTTAAGTTTGGGGAGATTTGATTTGTCGGAAAAAGTGTGTATTCTATATAATTATTAGTGTATTTTTATATGCTTAATTTTATCGCACTTATATATTTTTTGAATTATTTATTTATTAGATGGATTATAGTGCTTTGATATTTTTATTATTTATTTTCAGCTGGTTTGGAGTGTTTTTGCGGATGATGTAGCATTACCGATAATTCTAGTGGGTCGGTTTTGTAAAGCACAAAACGTGCCCAGTTCTCATTAATCTTTCTGGAGTATTATTGGGCCAAAATAAAGGAAATTACAAAGTCCAACATGCAACCATAAGGTGGGGTACAACCAATTGTAGGACTAATTGGGAAGCTTGAATATAGCACTCAGGCCCATTCGTGAATTGGAGAGGAATTCAGAATTGTTTAGTGAGCAATTATTTACTTAGCCCATGAAGTGGGAATAAAAGAAGCAACCCCTGGGGCCTGAGAGGATATTCACACGGAAAAGAACAAAAAGGAGAGCCGCCAATCAGGGAGAAAAGAGAGTTGCACGAACAGAACTAGACACGCGAGGAATCCGATCAATTGCGGAGGGAGACCGCACCCGCACACGAGAAGGATAACTTTATTCTTCTCTTTGTTTTTTATTATTTATGTTATTAGTATGTTAGAGTAGATTTTTATTCTAGTTCCGGGGAAGTCGAACCTACGTACTTGATGATGTTTAATTAATTTTCGTGGTTGATTATTTAGTTATCTTTTTGAAATTGTTTGTGTTATTTTGAATAATTAAC